AAGGAAATAAGCTATTTACTATTCTTTCAGCGATTCCCCAGAGCAATTTCCCTAATGCAATTTCAAAGGAGAGGCCAGAAAAATCTAGTTTTGGTCACGTTAACTGGAGATGTGTGGGGATATGTTATTTTGTGAAGTACCTATTCACATTTCCAATTAGGGGAGTTTGCTTATCATGCTTTGGTTTAATTACTGGCTGAGAGCTCTGCCCTCTCCCAGACCCCTTTCCCAGCCACTAAAACCCTCCCACTGTTTCCTCTGAAATTCAGGATTAGTCATTAGCAAAACCTCCTTTAATCTCCGTCTTTTCTCTGATCACTCCCTTTGCATCTCAATCTACAAAACCTGACTCTCTCCTATGGACACTTCTTCCTGTCCACCCTATAAGGTAATGGCCCTTCTCTTTCCCACACATCTTGCACCACTGGGCTGGAAATGGGATGGGTGATCTCTCTTCCCCTCCCTGCTCCTTCAATGCCTCTAGCATTGTAACTCATGTCTTCAGACTACAGTACCAATTACTCCTCCTTACTGTATTTACCAACACCAGAATTACTCCCCTTCATTTGATGAAAATTTTAGCTACTAAATATCATAGCCTTTCAATGCTAGTTCTATCACAATAGTCTGTTTCAGTATCCACACAGATGACCCTATAACAGTTTATGGCAGGACCACACTTAACAACATCTTCATGCAAATAAGAAAAACGCAATGTTTCCTCCCAGTAGACCCTGTTCCATCCCATGACACTAAGGTAGAGAAATGGAGGGCTGCTAACTTTCAACCAAGGGTGAATCCTCAGCCAGGCCACTAGGAAAAGTGAGTGCACACACTGCCTAACCACTCTGGACAGCCTTAAACCTACCTCCATCTTTCCTCTCATTTTATTATTATTTTTTTTCCTCTCATTTTAGACACATATTCTATAATGTTACCCTAAACTCCACTGAATACATTCCACTCCCATATCACCTACTCTTCGAACTCATTTTCTCTAGAACACCAAATCAAACCATCCTTCCACCCCGAAGAGACCTCTTCTTCACACCATCCCTCATACCTCATGTCGTCACCCACCTCTGTAACCAGCTTAAATTCCATGGGGGTGGATCTTAGCTACTCCAGTCTATGAACCCTCAACTTCCTTGCCCATCACTCTTTTCATCATTGAAACCTGGCAAAATCCCAGCTCCAATTAAACCAAACTCTATACTGACTTTGTCCTTATGCAGTGGTAAGGAACATGACCGGAGGAAAACGTACAACCATGCTGACTGGTCTCATTAAATTCAAGATTAGAAACCTTAACTGTATCCATAATGATGTCAGACTCTAGACAAACATTTTGTATCTTCTCCTTAAATCTACAAAACTGTCTTCCCTGTCCTTACTCTCCACTGATGAATGTGTTTCCTACTTCACTGAGGAAAATGAAGCAATAAGACTCAAACATCTATAAGCCCCTCTCCCACATGTACTCACCCACCTTAATTTCTAGCCAAACACCCTGACTTTTCCTACTGCTTCCTTAGAGAACCTCTCCGTACTACTAAATAAGACCTATCACTTCATCTATTTAGAAGATCCTATTCCCTCTCATCTAATCAATTACATGGCAATAGGATACTCTCTTCATTATCAAATTCTCCTTTCAACTGGATTTCTCCATCAGTATACAATTATTTTAATATTTACCTCTCAAATAAAAATAAAAAAACATTCTCTTGGTTCTACTTTCCCTTCTAGCCATTTTTCCCATTTTGCTTCTTCCCGTTATATAAAAAAATCCTTGAAATAACTGTCTACAGTTGGGGTCACCAATTTATGCTCTCCCATTCCCCTGAACCCACCCCCTTCAGGTTTATGGTCTCATCACCATTCAACAAAAATTGTCCTTATCAAGTTCATCAATAGCCTCCCCAAAACAAATCAAATTGTTATTTCTGTCTTCATTGTAAGTTGACATATCAAAAACATTTAATACATTTGAGTCAGTTCCTCCCCAGAAACACATTCTTCACTTGGTTTCCAGAACATACATGTTCTCTAGTCCATTAATCCTCAGTCTCATTTGCTGGTTCCTTTCATCCCGCCAACTTTTTAAAATCCAAGTAGCCCTGAGCTCAGTCTTTGGGCCTCTTCTCTTTCCTGTTTACCTTCAGTTTCTTGGGGATCTCCTCCAGTTTCTTGCCTCTGAATATCGTCTATAAACTGACTACTCTCAAATGTACATCTCCAGCAAGGGTTTTCCCTTGAATTTGAGAAAGGTAAGTCCAATTATTTCACATATCAACCTGGTTGTTGAAAATGAATTTCATACTTAATTATGTTCAAAACTTAAGGTCCTGATCAATAACCCCTGCCCCAAACTGGTTCTCTTGCAGATTTGCCATCTTACATTAAAGACAATGTTCTATTTGCTCACACTCAAACTTTGGAGACATCTCTAACTCTTCTTTATTTCCTAACTGCACTAATTTCAGCAACTCCTGTGAGATCTACCTTCATACATACCCAGAATTCAATCACTTATCATCACATCTAGTGACATTTCTCTTACTCAAACCACCGTCACCTCTTCTCTAGATTATGACCATAGCTTTCGGACCAGTCTCACTATTTTTACCTTATTCATATATATCTATATCTATCTCTCGATAGATAGATAGATAGATAGATAGATAGATAGATAGATGACAGATAGAGAGACATAGATGAAACTAAACTGATAGCTATATATCTTTATATATATGGTACGTGGTGATCCTAAGTGAGATCATTATCTCTTTAGCTCAAAAGCCTACAATGGCACAGGGGTGGGGAACCTTTTTTCTGCCAAGGGCCATTTGGATATTTATAACGTCATTCATGGGCCATACAAAATTATCAGCTTAAATATTAGCCTGCTATATTTGGTCCAGCTAATTTGGTGAGGTGTGTGATGTTAGCTGGTATTGATTTCACGGGTCTTATACAGCCCGCAGGCCAGATGTTCCCCACCCCTAGATCCAGAAGCCAACATCAAGATACTATATTATCTGGCCCTATAACTTCTCTTTCTTCATATTTACTGTATGTCCCCTTGTTCTCTCTGGCCACCAACCACACTGGCCTCTTGATGTTTCTGGAACATTCCAGGCACTCTCCTGCCTCAAGTCCTTTGTCATTGCTGCTGCTTCTACCTAAAACTCTCCCGGTAAATACTTTTTCCTTCACTCCCCTGGGGTCTTTTCTCAAGTTTCTCTCCCACTCTTATTTCCTTATTTATGTTGCCCCATATCACTTGTCAGCACTGAAAAAGCTATAAATGTTAGATACTTGTTTGATTATTGTCTCTGTCTCTTCACCAACATAACATCCATGAGAGGTCTCTTTAGGTTCTGGATTTTCACTGTTGTGACCGCAATGTCAAGAATAGTACTTGGGCCCTGGCCAGTTTGGCTCAGCGGTTAGAGCATCGGCCTGCGGTCCGGAGAGACCCGGGTTCGGTTCCCGCTAAGGGCACGTACTTCGGTTGCAGTTTGTCCCCGGCCCTGGTTGGTCGTGCGGGAGGCAGCCACTCGATGTGTCCCTTCACGCCGATGTTTCTCACTCTCTCTCCCTTCCTCTCTCTCCCTCCCACTCTATCTGTACAAAAAATGGAAAAATATCCTCAGGTGAGGATAAAAAAAAAAAAAAAAAGAATAGTACTTGGCCCCCAGCAAAAGCTCGATATAGCTGTTGAGAGAGACAGCACACAGAGCTCATGCGAACAGGCGGCACTACTGGAGGAAGATTCCCCTCTGCTCTGCTGAAGGAACAGAGTCTGCCTCATTCACCAGTCCTTCCAGAAAGAAACTGCTGGGCATCGCTGCTTTTTCTCCCTCTAACCACAAGGACCTGCCAAAGCCCACAGTACAATTACAACAATGATGCAGGGTTGAGTGTTGAAGAGGTACAGAATCAGGGTCATCAAATTCAATGAAAGTTGATTTGAAAAAGTCTAGCCTACTTCAGCCGTTTTACTGAGACAAGAGCCGGTGTTTCACACATTAATTCAGTCTCTGCTGCAGATCAGATAGGCGCTGAGGCAGAGTCAGCCTCGGGGGAAATGGTCAGAAAGCAACACCAGCTTAAAGCGCAGGAGTGTCCGGTCAGAACACAAAGGGACTCCTGTGGCCATTATTAAAATGAATGGTTTTGGGCTATTAGTGAGACACACTGTTTCTGCAAGGATCCCTTAAGATTTGTTTAAAGATAATTTACTGATTTCTATGAGTCCACAGACAGAGGCTTTAAGGACACAATCTTCCTCCCGAATCACAATTGGGGTCCACTTGTAGGACCAGTGGGTGGAGTGGAAAATAAAGCATGGCAGCTTTCGTGGAACAAAACTTCGCCAACACTGCAATATAGAAATCACATACACAACAGAATCATAATGCAAACGTCTAGAGAAATGAGAAAAATGAATTAACATGGATAGAATTTGGAGGTGGAAAAATGCTCCCTAGAATTCTGGACGGGTGGCTAGAAGTGTTCGTGAGAATGTCACTCATCTGGCCCTTATTTCACTGTGAGGAATGTTAACACTAAGCTTAATTTACTATGGACAAACCCAGGAACACAGCTATTATCCAACTACTGTAATCACAGGACATATTTGCACACTCAGACATAAAACACTAGCATTCTCACGCTTCACGTAAGAATAAAACCACTGGGTACCCTCTGGTCACCCTCTCACCTTGCAAGAGAACTCTACTAACAACACTCGAGCTTGTCCAGGGGACTCCATACAGTTAAAAACAAAACAAAACAAAAAGCAAAAAACTGTATATACTTGTCTTAGCTACTAAACCTTTTGAATCAAAATTGTTTGATGGTAAATCGAAGGAGGTGGCAAAATTTTAGAAGAAATTGTATCTATAATGGTCGGGATTCAATCAGTGAATTATTGAAATTCTCTATAACTTTTAAGAGAATAGGGTTTATATCTTGAGATCCATCACACTTACCTCCATTTCCTTCTCCACGGGCACTGGCCTCCGCCATGTCTGCGCCATCCAATTCAGACTCGCAGCCTAAATCCAGTGTGCCATCAGCTGGGCATGGCGACTCCTCTTTCTATAGTATTTTTTAAAAATGATTAATGAAGATGTAGTCACAACGGAAAACATTCAAATTACTTCCAGAATCCTGAAGTATTATGACCTTTACTTGTAATTTGAAATTGTAATACTGATTTACTTTTTAATATAAAAATCACAACTTAAGAATATAAAAACACTGAGGAAAAGCACAATGCCACAGCTGAGTTTTTGGATAACCTTTTTAAACCTATACAAAAACTAAGTTTCTTTTTGCCATATGATGTTTTCTTCTCTTTTCTTTTTTTTTCTATTCTACATTCTTCCTTATGTTAGGAAATGGCTTACTCAGAATTTTAACCAGTAAATTAAGCACCCAAGTAGCTACAAAAAAATCAAAAATAATACAAGTCTTTTGGTTAACCTGTGTTAATTTTCTGAAACACACACAGTGACAAGAGGCTGATACTTAGTAGCTGAGAAAGAATCTGTTTCTTTGCCAGGTATAACTTTAAGAATTTAAAACAAAATCTTCTCAAAGGAAATTCATGAACTTTAAATGCAATCCATCATTTATTACAGCAATGACGTCTTTGTAAGAAACAATACACTGATTTTACTTGTTCCAAGGTACATAACCATTGTAGACCATCAGCTTTTGTCCTCTGAATTTTATATCTTGGAGGTATTTCCCATTCTAGATGAAAATGAAAATTGCACTAAAATAATTAAGACTCAGTTACCTGAAGCTTTTAGTTTTATTTCTCTATTCTTCTCATATAACAAATATGCACTATTAGTAAAATTTCCTTGAGATCACTGTTTGTTTTAAAAATCAAATAACTGACTTAAATCGGCAAGTTTTCCAGGAGAATGGAGACATTTCTGACTTTTATGAAATACAGAAAGACATCAGGTGTGAAGCTTTGTATGAACCAATGGTCGTTAATTCAGATAGTTTGTGGCAACTCTGATCATCTTAAGCTCTTGCCTGATGATGATCCATGGCACTCATCCATGTAAATTTTTAAGAATCAAGAATTTTAAGGAAGCCACAACTATTTTCCATTACCATATGTTAGAGTGAAACCACAGATATGCTTTCCTTAAAGAAAAATTGCACTGTTTATTCTTAATATGAAATCATTTTTAAGACATCTGAAAACATTTAAGAGGCATAGGGGTCATTCTTCTACCCTTTACCCAAATCTAATTTTGTTTACCTGCACATGTCAGGGGAGAAAAATGCATGATACATAGCAATAACAGACATAATATGGAGAACAATCCGACTTACTTTAAGAGCATAGAGGCCTGACTTTCCAGGGATTTTGAAGAATGTTCCATCCCCTATTCGAGTGTTAGTGTGAAGCATTGCATTCAGACAGGCTAATGGAGAAGTTCCACTAGAAAATAAAAGTGTGCAAAAAATGAAGCAGTCTGAGATGCAGTTTCTGCAGCATACTGTTCTCTCGTCTCTTAAAAAAAGAAAAACCCTCTCGCATGCCTTTTAAAAATATCCTCCCAACCCTGAAAACATCTACATTACAATAACAGGCCAGTCCAGTTTTGCCAAAGTTAATCAGATGCATCTGTCTTATAGGCTCCAGGCAAAAAGTCTCCTGAATTGAAATTATGCTTTTATTCATAAAGCAACCAACACCATATTTCAAAGAAGCCAAAGCCCAAACGTTTATGTGGTGTTATTTTGCAAATAATACCAGGAAGCCTCTGTATTTAAATATTACAGACAACTTGATGGTTGCACTTGAATGATCAAATAAACCAAGTTCAAGGACAGCTCCATCCTATAGGTTGAAAAGCAACAAAAGAATAATGAGAAACCAGGGAAGAACTGATTTGAAATTACAAGCATTTAAGTTACTCATGGGATTGCATTTCTCACAAGGCCAAATAAAAATTTAAATCTGTGTTTATATCCCTGATACATCTTCAACAATAACATCCTTTTCTCAGATTTGTCAAATAAAGAAATATGTGCTTGGGAATTCTGCCCAGCTAATAATTATGTTCTGTAGAAAAGATGCAAGGGACTGAATTATTAAGTCACCAGATTTTTTTTTTTTTAAGAAAAATAACAGCATTAGACAAGTGATTAAAAATATCAAAGCCCATATGTACAAACATTGAAGTGTACTCATATACACAGAAAGATATTTATGAAATGTATGACTCCTATGTATTTCCTGGGTTAGACTTTAGAGTTTTATTTTGTGTTTTGTTTGCAAACTGATATCTTTGCAAACTAGAATTAGAACCAGAATTATTACTTTAATTTACTTATTTTTCCGTATACATTTTACTTCCTAGTATGCTTAAAGATCAATATTTGGTTGAGTCAATATTAATTATAAGCCCTTCTCCACCTTATTCACCTCTTATGGGTTTGGGATATTTAATCCAACTTATTTTGGGACAAGAGGACCTTTAAGATAATAAGGTTTCAAATTTTAAATTTCTGTGATGGAAACATAATTTTGTGTTACTGAGTTAAATGTTCTCTAAAAACCGACACTATCAAATCTCTTACTTAGCATGAAAAGTCACCAGTAAAATGAAAAAGCTAAATCTGCTGAGTTGCCACAACACACTTAATAGCAAGTCAGCATATATACACATCATAGTCATAAAGGTTTATAAGTTTTATAATAATAAGAGCACTCTTTATTATTTTAGAAAGCAACTCTGTGCCAACATGTCAATATGATTCCATTGGGTCTGACAGGAAGCAAGAGTCCTAATATAAATTTGGTCATAGAACAATGCAGTTATGACTCTAAAGTACACATGGTTATAACGCTGTGTGTTTATGTAACATCTTTCCTCATGCAACTTCTACAAGCTTACAGCCTCATTATTTTTCCTTACAAAAGATTTTTTTGCTTGTATTTAAAGTAGGCCAGGCATACTTTATAAAGTAAAATAGATTCATCTCCCCAGAAATATCTGTCCGTGAATAAATTCCAGATAAATGATTCTATACATGTTACACTGAATACTTCAAAATATATATTTTTATCATTATTCTCTTCAGGCAAAAAAGCACAGACAATTTGAAGCTGGGAATTATTATGCCAGATTGGTGGAGTTTTAATTTAGTGAAACTGTCAGAAACAGATTTTCTGTAGGAACTTGGCAAGGAAATGTGAACACTACAAGTAAAATAGAATCCAATACATAAAAATGATACAATGTAGACTTTAAAAATATATAACTTAATAAAATTACCCAACATCAACCCTCACACACAGTCTTCCTGTTCTTTATTCCTAAGGTCCTAGTACACACAATTCCAAGAACTCAGATTTAGAATATTAAAGAATAATAAAAAGAAGTGCTAAAGATAGCTTTAAAAAACACTGAACAAATATAATTTAATATCACTACAATTTAAATTTTTTTCTAAGGTACAGTAAACAAAAGATAATTGAAGATAAATTGACGATTAAATAGCAGTTTAATGTTATGCTTGTTGCAAACATAAGTGATAAGCACCCAGATTCAGATAAATAATAAGCTCTGCTGAGCATGAATATTTTAATTATACTGTTTATTAACTCAATAAACTCAAGATTCACTATAGAAATATTGAAAAATATGTAATTCACAGTCACATGACAATATATCTCCAAAAGTCTCAAAGACTACTGTAATTTATCCTAAATCTTTCCCTAAACATACAAAATTTGTTTTATTTCAAAACTACAACATTTGCCTTTTACAAGAATTAGAAAATACTTTACAATCAAAGGCAAAATTTACAACTCAAATCACTGGCTGATTAATTAGTCACTTAGTCTTGAGCATGTCACTTGCAATTCTTTACAGAAAAAAATAAACTAATGATACGATCTGCTTTATTTAAAAACAATAAAACATTCGCATCAACATACTTAAGTGCTTATTATAAGGTCATTGTTTCATCCAATGTGGAAGAGTGTATTTTTATACATAAAAATACATAAAAGAGTGTATTTCTAAAATCTTTCAGACCATTTTCTTATAGCTCTTATTCTCAACAATTCCATAAAGTGTAGAAAATTTGGACTGCTTTTCCTGAAGAAATGAATGTCTTAACTGCAATTGAACAGTAATAAATAAAAGTATTATTTATATATTTTTATTATTTTATATTCAGAAAAAGTAGAGCTAGCAAGCATGTCTTGGCCTACCTTAAGAAAGAAAAGGAATAGAAAAACATATATATATATATATATATATATATATATATATGAAAAAATATATATATTATATATATATAATAATGATTTACTGTGGGTATAAAATACATGTTATATGTGTCAAAAGTCTGTATTCTTAGATAGCATGAACACCTTCTATGCGACATCTCCTACATTTAATTAGATTTTTCTATTCACACTAAATTTAAGGGTTAATCAGCTCAGTCAGAATTTAAAAGTTTAACATTCTATAATATAATGCATATGTGTGCGTATAAAATAAAACATCAATATTTTAACAAAAAAATCTCTGAAATTTCCAAAGTTACTTACTTTCTAAAAAGATGAATTGGAAGAATCATCCCGATTTATGAAAGGAAAACAAACAAAAAAAAAGTTAGTTTTCCAACTTAAAATGAAATTCTACATCTTACCATTTCAATAATAGGACAATGGATAAGAAACACACCAAACTCAGATTTGGCTGCCCATAGGGAGGAAAATACTGAGGGACTGGGGTAAAAGGTGCTCCTACTTTCTTCCCCAAAACTTCTATATCATTTCATTTTGTCCACAATGCACATGTATTTGCATATCAAGAATATAATTAGAAATAAATAAGTAGGACAGTATTTGTCCCTAATTCTTTTGTTCGTGTCATTCCCTATAATTGGGCCCGTTCCTGTACACCTGCCAGGGAAGATATACAGCTTATTCTACTTGTTTGTTTTTCTCCATAGACTGCAGCATTATGGAACCCTTCTGGTTTGTTTTCATTTCCCACAACCCCTGAAGCAGAACAGGGGTGGAATTTGGAGGCAGGGGAGCAGGCATAATTTAAACTGTCTAGACATCAAAGAACCCCCAGAGATGCTTTGCAGAGACCGGTGCTGTGTGAAATAGAGAAACACCATTGCTTTATCACATCAAATTGATGACAGAGCACATAAAATTTTACTTATAGTGAACACTTAACAAAGGGAATGAGTGGTGTATCTATTTTAATAATTTTAAAAACCAGAAAGAATACCTGGGGAATGCAAATTGGAAGAATATTTGTAGACATGACAAAGAAAATATCATAATTGTGGCCTTCCTTTCCTTTGTATATAAAACGATAATGCCTTCCAAGACAGTATTTAAGTAACACAAATCTTAAACTACTTTATTAAGTATCTCAATAAAATATTTCAGATGAAAGCTATTTCCTGGAAACGTTTTTAAATCTCACTTTTGAAATATGGGAACATTAAAAAAATCAATCCTGAACAATATAAGTCTAAAAATTCAAGAAACTTATTAAGAAACATTATTAGACAGTTATTGTGCTAAGTGCTACTAATATAAATTAATAGATACAATTATATGTTCACTCTCCTTTCAAAAGAAATTAATGATAGCTCATTTCAAGTATTTTCAGTGTTGATAGCTTAGAGAAAATTCTTAATTATATTTTAAGAGGAAATTATTTGAGCCTCTGAGGTGCAGGTAATGTTTTATTTAGTTCTTGATACAGATGTATTTTCACCATGTGAAATTAAATTACTTATGATTTGTGCATTTAACTCTATGTTACACTTCATAGAAATTTTTTACTGTTATAAAAGGAATAATGTACCCTTGGGTTTATCTATTTATTTACATATTTAATGGGCATGTCATTACTAGTAGAGAAAATTAAACTCTTTCTAACAATTAATGTAGATGACTCCTAAACACATATAAGCACACTATACATCAGTTGATAAATCAATAACCTAGTCATCCTAGATGATAAATACTACCCTAGAAAGTCAAGGCCAAACTACACTCTTACTCTTGAGAGATACTACTGCTAGTCTGGAACTCCCTAAAATAATTGAAAATAAAAACTTAAATGCTAAAATCCTTTATATACATTATATGAATAATGCTAGCAAATAAAATGTTAGCCCAAAAGTGACCTACAACAACCCTGAAATTTAATTTTGAATACATGAACAGTGTTCCAAACTTCACAGTCCCTCTAAAAAGATCACTAATGGAAGTTTTTAATAGCACTGACATAAGAAATAACAAAGATTAGAGTGGAAAATATCAAAGTAGATAGAAATAATTCAGTCAAGATGGATTATATTCAAAAGGAAGATATTTTGCCTATTTCTACGTTAAGAATATTGACATGATTTTCAATATTCTATATGTCTCTAAGGTAAAGTTATAAA